GTTATTGAGGCCTGCTGTTTGCTTTGTGTGAGAGCTGATGTGACTGTGTGCTGAGCTGTGGAAGGAGCAGCAGAATGTGAGCCAAGAACGATAGCAGCATCACATTGAATCACCAGCAAGCTGATAGGCCCATGAACAGGTACAGTCGCTGCTTCTCCTCACCACAGCAAGCACATCCAGGTGTGTGCAGCCAATCCTCCCACAAGCATGTGCTTGTATCTGTTCACTTCCATGTCATGGGAAGATCACTTGTTCACTTTCTAGGCTCTAAACACAGCTTACTTTTCTAAGCAGTATCATGTCAGCGATGCCAGCGTGTTCTGTTCCCATCTGTATTAACTAAGTATAGCCATATTTATAGCCCAGAGGGTCTGGAGATAACCCACTTAAACTCCAGGCTCCCCTGTGAAGTGTGGTTCACACAAGCAAGCAGCCAGTGGGCAGCACTTCCTGCTGCTCCCAGTACCAGGTCTCAGCCGTAGGGTGGTAAGAATGAATGCCCTAGTACAGTTATGAAGGGCATTCAGCCTTGGTCTATGTTCTGTTAGCTAGCTATCTGGATAGAATCACTTTTCACAGTGGTAAGACATGCAGAAGGGTCATTTCCTGTCTGTCCTGGGTCCTGGCTACATGGAAATGCCTCTGCTTGTCTGCTGTGATTGTTTAAGCCACGAGACCTCAAAAGGACAACATACACCACTGGCTTAGACACTGCCATCCGACTGTGACAGGCAGCTCTTCCCTTAGTCACCAATGCACATGTCCATAGTAATAATGATCAGAACAACAAAAACAGCATAGATGCTCTCTTTGCTCTGAAGACATGTGGTCCTTTCTATTTCCCAGAAAATTAGGCCTTTTCATATGGTGGCTCTCATTTCCTTGGAGATGAGGCCACCTGTAGCACCTCAAGCTTGGCTTTGCTTGGTTGCTTTTCAGGGGGAGGGTGTAAATCCATGCATCTTCTTATGGTCTAACATTCCACAGTTCCCCAGACAGGCTTAGTGCAGTGTGATGTCTGCACAAACACCAGGGCCTTAGAAATCCCCCTAACACACTGACTTTGACCAGAGTCTACCTAAGCTGTAGATTCAACACCTGCTCAAAAAGTTGCCACGCACTTCACACAGCAATTGCAGGGACCAAAGTGATCATGGTTATAAGATGCTTCAGATCTTTCTGGAGAAATGTGATCTGAAACTCGAGCTCCCTTCCAGTTAAGGAAGAACAGTTTTTGCTCCTGAATGTAGCCTAGAGAGCTCTCGTGTGCTCACATCTCTGCCCTGAAAGGGCCTCTCAGTCTCTTCAGAAATGTTATTGAAGAGATGACAAGCAGGGCAGCCACAGCAGGAAGCAGGCCACCTTCAGCATCGGAAGTGTTAGAGAGAAGGGAAAGCGGTGTTGGGCACCGGTGCGCAGGCTCTGTGCACGCACCTAGACTGCTGCGGCAAGCGATTCGTCGTGAGGCCCAAGTTTAGCATGGGAAGGAAAGTGGGACTTCGTAAATTTGAATCCCAGCTCTTCAAGTACCATCTGTGTGGCCTTAGTTAAGTTTCCTAACCTCTCAGAATTTTGTTCATCTCTACGTGAGTCATAATAATGCTGGTGCTTTGCTGTTCTCTAAGGTGTAGGTGAAATCTTGTCTGCACTGCTCTTACATAGTAGGTGCATAAATGGTAGCTGCTGCTTCTGTGCCTTCACTTGGCAGTGCTTGGAGATGTTCTCGTTTTCTGTTTTAGTGCCACCGTAGAGTTTGTGTGCAGATACTGAATATGACAACAGTATCTGCTTTACTGTTTGGCAGTGAACAAACCCTCAGAGTTGGCTGTAGATGGGCACAGTGTCGTCTCAAGCTTTCTGTAAAACATTGTCTTGCAGAGATTGATGGAGTCCAGAGTCCACCCTCCATCTTTCAGCCCCCTATATCCTTCCCTAGCACTCCATGCCCTTGGCATTGGAGTGGTAGCACATCCACTCAGGGGACTGAAGTAGGAGGATTTTGAGTTTGAGGCCATCCTGTGCTACATTATGAGACCCTGCCTCCAAAGTGAGTGCGTGTATGCATGCTTACACACATGCCTGCAAATTAGCAGCCTGCCATGTGGTCTCCCTGCCTCAAGCCTTGTTTTGTAGCCATGGTGGTTTCCTCTCGCCCCATCCTGGGTGCTACTGGCTAGGCCAAGTCCTATCTTTACCTTGTCTCTGTGGGACAGGCACTTGGGTCTTCTTACTCTGTCTTCCTCCACTTCCAGTGGCCCTATCTCAGCATGCAGGATGATGCAGCTGCTCCAACTACATGCTCAAGTGCTGCCTCCTTTCCAGACCCCTCTGATGTCCTAAACCCACTTGTCCTCCCTGAGCCAGGAGATGGTCCTCCACACCACACACCTGCAAGCTGCTGGCGTTCTATGAGGCACCTGTCATCTATTCCTCAGAGACAGTTCAATCCCTGAGATGTTTTCACCTGAGCTGGTGGGCATGAGAACGCTACCAGAGACTTACCTCACACAGATGTTTGCCTAATCTTCAGCCTTCTCACCTGAGGACTTAGCTCCACGCCTGCTTTCTCAGTCTTCAGTGCCCAGCCTCTCCTCTATACCACAGAGAGAAGGGTCTTGCAGTGGAAATTCCATCAAGGAAATGATGTTTGTGCCCTGGCATTTACTGCTCTGTGGTGATGCCAACATCTGTTCACCATCTTTTGTAAAATCACTCAAAAATGGCAATTAAGTCACCCCTCAGATATTGCCTTTTCAGGACATGTAATCCCCGTTCCTGTGAGCTCTCGGATCATCCACTGTGTCAGGCCCTTTGATCATCCATGCTACTTCTAAGCATTCTGAGTGCTGCTTCTCTTCCTATCCTATGGACCTGTTTTCCTGGATGCCAGGTACAGCATGTCTTAGAAGTACCTCTGGCTTTGGCTTTCTTAAGGGTCACTGAGATGTCAGACGTGTAGCCCACAGATGTCTGACTAGAAAGGAAGCCAGTGAAGGACACTTCTTACATGCATCCAAAGAAATAATGTTTTTTATTTATTATTTATTATCATCATCATTATTAATTTTCCCTTGAAATGTGTGAGGCTGGCCGATAAGACTGATTTCTGTTTACACATGAAGTGAAATGACTCAGTGGAAGGCCTATTCTTGTCTGAAAGAAAGGCAGTCTGTCCCCATCTTACCTACCATTGATCTTGCCTCTGGGACACAGTTCCTTTGGTACAGGGTCCATTTCCTGTTCTCATCCTGAGCAGCCCTGGGCTTTGAGCACTGGGGCCAATTCTGTGTACATCAGCTTGCCAGGCCTGAAAGAGGAGCAGGGACCTGTCTTCTGGGACCTTCTGTGGTGCTTTTACCTGAGTGGCCAGCCAGATCCACCATTCTAGTCTTGTCTGGCCAGCCAAGTCCACTGACAGTGTTTCCAGGCTTTCTTCCAAACTCAAGGGAGGACAGTGGTCCTCCTGAAAAATGCTCTGGAGAGCAGTGTCTTCCCTTTACCACACCCATGTCTCTGAGCCCAAAATTTACAGAGCACTTGGCTGTTTGCTCTGGGTTGACACTACTAAATGGTAGCAACTGATGAAACAGCCTAGTGATGGTGGCACCCAGCTTTCTTATGAGCTGTATTCAGAAATTCTGCTGATTCTGAAGACCAGGAAGACCTGAAGAGGTAGTCCCTCTGACTTAGGTTCTCTCCCCGTCTTCTGCCTACTGGTCCTATAGAGAAACACTGGCTGTAGACCCTCTCCCTGCATAACCTATTTCTTCCCTAGTAGGTGCTGTTTCCCCAGCCCACTGAAAGCTGAGTCCCAACCAAAAGCCCATGTGGACCACACTTGGCCTTCTATTATATTGTATATTTCTACAACTTCTGTTGTCAATAGAGAAATTGTAGAGGGGAGTTTCTTTGATGCTTAAATTTATTTTTGTGCCTGTGTGTGTTCATATGCCTGTGCGTGGTTGCCAGAAGACAACTTTGGAGAGTCAGTTCTCAACTTCCACCTTGCTAAAGCAGGGTGTCTCTTGTTTTCTGCTAGCTGGCCCACAGATTTCAAAGCAGCTGTCCTGTCTCCCCTTCCCATGAGAGGAGTTCTGGCATTCCAGATGGCGTGCTGCCACAACAAGCCTTATATGTGGTTCTAGGACGGAACTTGGTTAACAGGCTTGAATAGCAGAGGCTTTACCTGCAGAACTATCTCCTTGCCCCAAGAAATGTGCATGCATTCATTCATTCATTCATTCATTCATTCATTCATTCATATAAAAGTATCTCTACAGAAACCTGCTTTCCTACCAGGAACATGGTGAGTGCTGGGATTGGTAGCTAGAGAGCTTCCATCCTTCAAGGAGGCAGTAAAAGTGATGTAACCAAATCATTCGGTCCCAAGTGTGCTAAGACACTGTTCAAGTTGAGGACGGGGAGTGACAGGGGTACCCAAGGGGGCAGGCTGCCTTCTTCCTGGCTTAGGGCCAGTGAGCAGAGATACTGGGCATGGGCAGGAATTGTCTGGAGGGGGTGAAGGGAGGTGCGTTTGCTGAAGGAAGACCGGCAGCCACTGGTATCCCAGATATTTAGTGATTTTATAAGCTCATGAAGTCAGCAGAGCAAGAAAGCAAAACAATCTCAGCCAATGTAACAAGCATTCATAATATTGCACAGAGAGATTTGATGTGGTCCTACCCGGAAAACAGACAGGTGGGCTGAGCACAGTGTGCCATGTTCTTGTAGCCTGTGTTACTGTCTCGTTCACAGACGTGTGGCCATGCTTGCCTCACCTCCTCTAGCAGGCAGGCAGTCTAGGAACATTCCTGGTCCTCCTAAAGGTCACCTCAAAGCTATGTGCCTGTGAGTCTACAGTTTCCATGTATAGATGTTCCTGTTTCCTGGAGAGATCACCCTGATGTGGTGGGTTCCTCCGCTGCCCGAGTACTTAGCCATGTCCTGGCCATGTGTGCTCTGAAGTATTTAACCATTCGGTTCTTGTTTTGTTTCTGAAGGCTCGGCCTGTCTGTTGAGAACATCGTCCGTGATTGGCTTGAGTGTTCTGGAATACCCAAGGTACCTGAAATAACTATTTTGGGAACAGAGTAAAGCTTGCTGTTAGCTTCTCAGCCCAGAGTGTGATGTTTTAAATATGTCTATGAAAGTGCTGACTCCCAGTAGCCACTGGCTTGAGTACTGTGGGGTGTAGGTGGATGTGACAGGGGTCACTGTATTGTGTGTTAAGTGAGGTCATCCAAAGCATGCTAGGTATTTTGGATGGAGTCTCCAAGCAACAGTTTAATACCTGCAGTGGGTTAAGCAGGAGGCTTCCAGTTGGGTCTTGGGTATAGCCAAACAGGCAATCTGGTTTACTATAGCTTTTACCCAACCATGATACTTGTTTTCCTTCCAATCCCTGCCTTTCAGCTTTCTCCCTAGTATACCTAAGGGCCTGCATCAGGCCACTTCTCTACGCATTTAGTCATTGCTTTGTCTTGGGGACCTGGACTCAGTTTCCCCCACCCCTTTCAGATCATAGGTAGCTGTGAGAAAGAAGTCTTTACCAGCCCTAGGGGAACACCTAGCCTAGAGTAGAGGGGCTGCTTATTGCCCAGGTCCATGCTTCTAGAACCTATTGGGTAATCCAGGCTCCTGGATTCCGGCTCCTCCCTAGCCAGAATGCTGGGCTAAGGACCAGGCCTATTGTTGTAGTAGGCCTTGGTGGCTGTGGACAGACCCTTGTGGCAGTGAAAATTTGGCCCCACATTCAGGCAAGCCAGTCCCTGTAGCCTGCTTATTTCTGGTTTTGTGGCTGGTTGTATGAGCTTCTGCTTGGAAGTGTCTGGATGTCTATGAATGTCTGTGACCCACGAAATGCAGTGGAAGGTGTTCAAATAGCCTTCAAACAAGGAGAAATGTTACTACCAGGCACCATTAGCTCACTGGGAGACACTGCCTTCAGTTCAGAAATGGACACCACCCGCTCAGTTACTTGTTTGGTTCAATCTCTCTGGGAACCAAAAAAGAAATAAAAACTAAACAAAACCGGAGAGGTGAGGCAGCATGGGGCCTGGACGGCAGCACTTTAAGGTCAGGTATGTCACGAGAGCCTGTGGTTTCTAAGAAGGTAACTTCCAAACAAGAGGACGCTGAGAACCAGCCTCACCCTGCAGTGTTTTAGATGGGGGCGTGTCTGGCGGTCTCTGTGGAGTTTGCTTTGTGGGCCTACGCCAGCCTTTGGAAGGCTCCTAGGCATTCTTGGTCTGGCTGAAAGCTGGGCCGAGTCGGCAGCTCAGCCAACCCCAGTTCCCTGCTCTAGAACAAGCCTCTTTCTTTGCATCAGCTAGCCAGGAGGGAAGGAAAGTCCTGAACCCCGAGCAGTGCGTGCCCAGAAGCAGGCTGCCCCAGGTGAAGTATGAGGCTGGGCTGACCCTCCTCTTAGCGGCAGCAGGGGAGGTTGCTTCTTACAAACTGCAGAAAGGAATAAGGAAGAGTGAGATGGGCCTCTGAGATTAACCTTTTCTTCCAAAGTTCTAGTTGCATTAGTGACAGCTTAGCATAGACAGACTTTCTACCTTGAGCTGATGAAACCGGCTGTCGAAACGGCCAGGTGCAATGAGGCTTAGCAGCTATAACTCATCTGTAAGGCCCACTGGCATTTGCCTGAGTGCATGACTGTTCAGTAAAAACAACAGCAGCAGACAGAAACAGGCCTGATGTAGTGCATAAGTTTGGCTGGTGAGTGATCACAGGGTGTCTTTTCATCACCCCCCTCTTCCCCCACCCAGTTCTCTGGTTATTTATGTGGCTACTGGTGATCTACCTGCTCTCAGTCCCTTTCACACTCCTTGTAAGTTTCTTTTTGTTTCCACTTCAGTGAAATGCTTGGCAGGGCCTGAGACCCTGCGGTGGCAGGAGCGCAGAGTGAATGGGACACCTTGTTCTTCATCCCGTCGTTACAGTATAAAGTTACTAGCGTGCCTGCCCTGGAGTGACAGAACACCACTGGCAGGCTCTCTGCTCTTTGTTCTCTTCAGAATTTCTGTCCTCCAGCATTTGAACTCTCTGATGACAGAGACCCACGTTCTCTTATGAAGTTTCCATCCCACAGGCTGCAGAGGCTTTTTGTCTTCTCGGGAAGGTCTGCCTCAACTTTCCTTTATGGTTATGCTGAACAGAAATCATAAAAACAAAGTAATGGACCTAGCTTCAGGAACAGCTGAAGTAGGCACGAGACCCACAGAGACAAAGAATTGGAGCCAACCTCTTTAAAGAATACCTCAGCCCTGTAACCTTTGAACTTACAAAGACTGAAATTGTCTATGTCCTCGGTCTTATTGCCTTTTATGACAATTTTTCTATGAAACCATTGCACATTTTATATTTTAGAATATAAAAAGACTATAAATAAGAAAATTAAAATGACCCAGAGGTGACTTATTTTCCTTTGCTGTAGTCTTTGAGGCAGGGTCTCATATAGCCCACGCTGGCCTTGGACTTTCTCATAGTTGAGGCTGTCCCATCCTCCCTTCAGTACTTCCTAAGTGCTGGGGTTCCAAGTGGGTACCACTGTGGCTGGCATCTAGAGATGTATACGCTTTGGTATACATCTTTTCAGCCATTATTCACAATATGTAAGTACGTATTTTGTGCTTTCTCTACCTTTTTTGTTTGGTTTTGAGATACAAGAGGTGGAACTTAGGGCCCTGTGCATGGTGGGTATGCTCTCTACCATTTGTAAACGAAAAACAGTTAGCTCTAGCAAGGCCAACCAGAAGCAAAGTCTGAACTGTGGATCTACTGCTATGTCAGTCTCAGTGGGGATCCAGGCCTGCTGACACCTGCTTTCTGTGCTGTGTAGTAGGTGTTCAGCCTTTAAAAAATAAACTAGAATTTTATTCTAAGAGTTTTTAGACAGTATATCTTCATTACTTTCCTTTTTCCTTTGGTATAAGCTGAAGAGCAAGTGTTGATGGCTGTGCGGCTTCCTGAGAGATGGTACCAGACTAAATTTTGTCAGCTCCCCAACTTCATGTTGGAATAGTATACAGCTCTCTCCTGGTGTCCACCAGGGATTGGTTCCAGAACCCTCCTGAGGATACACAGACCTTCTATACAGTGTCTTAGTGTGTACATACAGCCATCTCAGTCCCATTTTTGTTAGACCCCAGGCAGAGTGAAGACTGCTGACTGCCATCACACCATTGTCCAGATGCTTGGTTGGCATACTCAATCAATGCCATACATGCTTGTCTCTTTTCATGTCTGCCCTAAGGCCCCCCTCACCCAAATAGTCATGTTTTAACCTTCGTTATGACATTTCTGTACAGAGCACTAGAGATGGCATTTCTCCATCCAGTCTCTTTGTTCTCCTTGGTTTAATTGCTACAGAGCCTCTGAACTCTCCTCTCATTCTTCAGATCCTCCTGGAACTTGTCAAGTACTGAGGTCCCTGCGTAAGCAAATCCACAATCCTATTCCCCAGAACCTGCACTCTTTCCTCCTTGCGTTTTGCCTGGGCTAGTGCAGTTGCTAATTGGTCAGGTAGCAGCCAAACTCCTTTCTGCCTGTCTGTCTGTCGTCCACATCAATATCAAGTGAGTTTTCCCAAAACAGTTCAAATCCATCCTCAGTGAAACTCTCTTTATTGGCAATGTTCTAAAAATGCTCTCTGGCATGCTGGTTGATGCTTTCCATACTGCCCAAGGCTATCCTGTTAGAACTTTTTGCCCCACCCTTCTGGGCATATATGGGCAACCATAACCGCCAGACTCCAAACATCAGTCTCTTTTACACATGCTCTTTTCAATCTCTCCATCGTCTGTCTTCTGTCAGTATCCATCGTAACTGGCTTTATGTTGTTGCTATTTGTGTGTGTGTCTCAAGCTGTCTCCCAGGAAGAGGTGTTACATCTGGTCACCCCCACATTACTCACTGTGTTGAGCATGTTTCCATTCTTCTGCTGAGCCCCTTTTGATGCTCAGGGGCGCACTGTCTGATAGAGCAGTGACTGGCAATGCACAGCATCAAGCACTTGAACTGTATCTAGCATACCCACACTCCTAAACTTTATTTAGTTAGTTATTGAGACAAGGTCCTATTGCATAGTCCAAGCTGAGCTAAAACTTGCCATGTAGCCCAGGCTGGCCTGGGCCACACAGACCCTGCCGGTTTGCCTCCTGAGTGTGGGGTTGCAGGCCTGTGCCAGCACTTGGCATGAGTGGCCGAACCTTAAGTCTAATCTTAATTAAATATGTCTAAATTTAAAAGCTAATAAATCTATTGTTGTTTGACACATTTCAGGTATAATAATGAATCTACTTTTCAACTGTAGATTTTATGAAATAAAAATATAAACCAAGCATTTATGATTAAAACTAGTACCTGGGTAGAGATAAAATTTGCAAAAACATCAGATTAAAATGCCTCATACCAATAAAGAAGACGAAGAAGAGGAGGAGGAGGAAAGGAAGGAAGGAAGGAAGAAAAAAGAAAACTGAAGTAAAACATTTAATTTTAAAAATTCAGCCACATATTGAAATGTAGTGTTTGAGTGCATGTTAGCCACACATGTATAGTTGGTGCCCATATTTTTGGGTTCTACACAAGTTCAGTCAGTTACAGGTCAAAGTATTTTTAAAAGAAACCATCTCTGAACTGAATACCTACAGACCTCCTGGAGCAGGAGTGTGCCCTCTGCTAGGTTTTGAACAACCTGGAGACAGCTGAAAGACCATGTGCTGTACCTGCACCACTTTACATAAGGGGCTGAAGTGTCTCTAGGTTTTATGCCCACAGGGGTAATGGACCAGTCCTTCAGATACTGTAAGATGAACTAACCTATTAAAACTTTATCTGCTATGCCTTACTTTTAAGATGTAGCAACTGCATTGAGTGTCATGGGGCATGCCTATAACTGCAGCCCTGGAACAAGGAAGATCATGTATGTTTTAGCTGAGTGTAGACTACATAGCAAGTCTCTGGCTGAAAAAAAAATCACAAAATTACAGCTAAAAAAATTAACAACTAAAAAAAATGCTTCTTTGTATATGATGTGTATGTGTATATACACATGT